CCATTATACTTCTGTAGTACTAAATTGTCATTGTATAACGAGCTAGAGGTTATATTTCAATATTTTTAGTTTTTACCAATTGCAAATTTCATAAAACTAATAAAAATTCTTTCAGAGTACTAATTCTTACGATATTAATACCGATATTGGTATGGGCTACATTTCTTTTGGCAATTGGCGATGATCCAAAGAACTTGAATATCGGGATTGTTAACGATGAAGCTGGCAATTGCGACAGCAGCAACTTTGGCAATATTTGGAATGATGAAATCAGCTGCCACTTCAGCAACCTCAGTTGTAGATTCCTGAACAATTTGGACGACTCCATTGTGACACAGGTGTAAAAATTTAAAAATTAATCATGTAACGTAGTTATTTAATGACGTTGTACATACAATATATTTATTAAAGTAGGATCAAATAAGCTTGCAAAATGCCTACTCAGTGCGTATGTGGACGCTCTTTATTGCTCTTACCACAAATGCAAGACGAACAAATTTATGTTTCAATCACAAGAGCTCACTCTAACGTTTTGCACGGGTAGGCTTTCCACTAACGGCTCCACTCGGCTAACGCACTGTTGCCGAGAGTAAATACAGAACAAAGCACACTCGAAAGTCCTAGGACTAGAAATATCAATATACGAAAGACACGACACATAAATATAATGTAGCGTGCACGGATGTTTTTAATGTATTATGGTTAAAATGGCACTATCTGTATTCTCGGTATCCATTTGTCTGTCACCTATTTATTCCGATACACATTGGAAAAATTTTATTCAATATAAATTAATAGAAACCGATTAATAATCATTAACACGTTTATTGATGATTCTCATTAATTATATTGTGTTTTCAGAAGTACTATAACAATATTTCAGAGGCGAAATATGATATTCAAAGAGGAGAACTTCATGGTATAATATATTTTCAGCAAAATTTTTCTGAAGCTCTAAAAATACGAGTGGAACATGTTACTTTCGCGAAGGATTCCGATCTTCTTGCTAGTCAGATTCAAGTTTTCCGTGATATGAGCGGTACGCTATATGTTGTACAGAGCATTCTACGAATAGTTAAAGAAATTTTATTAATTTGTATATGTATATGTATGTATACACAACACTCGCGCGCGCGCACGTAGACAAGTATCTTTAAATAGAAAGTTTTATTAATTAAAAAACCACACGAAAAGGAATTCAAGAGCTTAGATTACGACGATTGTACATCCTAAATATTTTGACATAAACGACATGTAAAATAATTAATTTGTTATAAAAATTTAAATTTACAATGTCTTTTGTCACAGAAGCACCAATTGGAGGTTTTCTACAGAAGAAGCTATATGGATGGTTTTTAGAGGTTATTGAGGCTATTATGAGGGACTGCAAATATATACCAAGATTAGCCACTCCGCCGATTCGAGTTAGTATATTTTATAATCTTCAATTTTATAAGTAAATCTCTCTCTCTCTCTCTCTCTCTCTCTCTCTCGCGTAATACTACGAGAAAAAATTCAATTTTCTATCCTTTTCAGTTTGAAGATCCTATATATGGTACTACTGATTTAAAGTATATAGACTTCGTGATACCATCAGTTCTATTAGTGTAAGAAAAAGTCATGTCAACATAATAAACAAAACTTAATCTACTAAACTACTTATAGTTTTGTAATATATTTTTGCAGAATAGCCTTCAGTTCGGGCAATGCAATCTCTTCCTTCTTGACAATCATAGATCGAGAGGAGGGTGTCTGGAATCGAAGCGTAGTCCAAGGTATTAATTTCTTAATGACACTACGAAATAGATTTTACGATTATTTCTTTGCCTTTGTATATTTTATCACATTAAGGTGAATATATTGTACATGCGTGACAGGGGTAAAAGTACATGAAATTCTGCTGTCTCACATTGTGGTTGAGAGCATCTTCGCAGTTATCCATACCATTACGGTAATACTCATAGTCTTCCCTATATGGGGTTTGGAATGTAAAGGATCAATATTCGTTATAATCTTCCTTCTCTTTCTCAACGAGTTTTGTGGACTGATGTGTGGTGAGTACTCCACTCTGTATATCAAAAAGCGTACAGCAGCAATTCGGAACCTAATGAAAATTTTTTAAAAATAACATACAATAGAAAAAACAAAAACCATTAAAAGGAAATCCGCCTAAAAAACATTAAATTTTCTAAATAACATGTTCAAAAAACACGATAGAAAACCAAATATATTGCCATGAAAAAGGAGTGAAATCAAAATGATACTCCAAGTATATTTATTAGAGATTCACTGCCAGTACTAGAAATATATAGTTTACGTCACGCGTGCAATATTTTCAATACTGACAATGAATATCGGAACGCAGCCTTAATATAAAACATGAAAGACATTTAAAACATTTAATACGGTGGCCAAATAAAATTTTGAGAATATGAAATGCAATAAATGGCACAATAGAGAGGCGTAGAAATTGAAAAAAGAGTAATTACGATAACAAGCAACAAATTATGCGGAAAAGACGCGCGGGGACGCGGAAAAGCGGAAAAGACGCGCGGATATGCGGAAACGCGGAAAAGACGCGCGGGGATGCGGAAATGCGGAAAAGACGCGGAAAATACGCGCAGAGACGCGGAAACGCGGAAAAGACG